AGGCCTGTGATAATTTTATCAAATGATACAGATGTGTGTGGGATGCCATTTATCAGTGAGTCATTTCTGTCACATCTATATGTGTCTGTCATTTTGTCTAATCTGTTTATTATTGTTGGCCTTTTACAGACAAAATTTGATTTCTCATGCTTGCATCCATTTGCACCACCTCATGTGTCATGTGTAAGCATAGGTGTGTCTGGGAGTTTGACTGCAAACACATTCACTCAGTTAACACAACATACAGTTCATATGCAAATAGTGATGAGAAGCAAATGTGTGTCTTAGAAGTAAGTAAATGGCTATAGGTGCATCGACTCTCCTGTTAGATCTTTAATTGTTCAGTCCAGTGGGTTTCAATCCAGCTGCACTCTTTTCAGTGACTCAGCAGGGTCAAAAATAACTTCCTGGAATTGTCATGACATCCCATGAGTATCCCATGTCACGTGGTCTTGTAGGCTGTTTCAATCTTTCTTGACACTTTTTTCTTCTATATTAAATATATTTGTTTTATGTGTCACAGTTTCCATAATATTAAGCATCACAACTGTTTTCAACAATAGTAATAATTAAAAAATAACAGTTATTTTAAATTGTGATAATGTTTCGCAATATAATATTACTATGTTATTGCATTTTTGATTAAATCAGCACAACTTTGGTGAGCATAAGAGACTTTAAAAAAAATTCACACGCACACACACACAGGTTTGTTTTTGTGAAAAGTGGGGACATCCCATAGGCGTAATGGTTTTTATACTGTACAGACCGTATATTCTATTGCCCTACACCAACCCTACCCCTAAACTACCCCTTACAGGAAACTTTGTGCTATTTCAGATTTTCAATACACTCCATTCTGTGTGATTTATAAGCGTTTTGAAAAGTGGGGACATGGGGTAATGTCCTGAAAAGTCACCTTCTCCTTGTAATACCTATGTCATACCTTTGTCATTATACAAATGTCCTCATTTGTCACAAAAACGCGCACACACACACACACACACACACACAGTGAACACAGTACAGTTGTGGTAAAAATTTTACATACATTTTGCAGTATCTGCAAAATGTTAATTATTTTACCAAAATAAGAGGGATCATACAAAAATGCATGTTATTTTTTATTTATTACTGACCTGAATAAGATATTTCACATCAAAGATATTTACATATAGTCCACAAGAGAAAATACTAGTTGAGTTTATAAAAATGACCCTGTTCAAAAGTTTACATACACTTGATTCTTAATACTGTGTTGTTATCTGGATGATCCACAGCTATAAACACAGAAGTTTATAGTTCAGATATAAACACTGATGTTTTATGGTAGCGATCAAAATAGAGCAAATCACCTTTTGAAAGTAACTGGCGCTTCAAATAATGTTTGTGTCAGTTGTTAAAAACTGTATTTGTCATTGAATCATTCATTCAAGAGATTCGTTCAAAAATGCTGATTCATCCAGTAATGACACAAGTGTTTATGAGTGAGTCATTGAATAATTAATTCATTCCAAAAAAATAAAAATAAAATAAAAATCATTCCAATTAATTAATCATTTTTAAATAGGCTAGACTGCAGCAATTAATATTTTGTCACAACCTCTAGTAAATTAATTTGTTTAGTTCAGAATAATGATCTCTATTTGAAAAAAACAAACAAACAAAAAAAACTATGTGATTCTCAATTTATCCAGAATCATTTAGCTCTAGTTTGGCTCTTAAAAATTTCACAAATGAAATGCACAGCATCTAATTTCATCATATTTGGGCACACAGTGACTCAGGGTGTAGCACTTTTGCCTAATAACAAGAAGGTCCCTGGTTCGAATCAGACTCAGGAGGCCTTCGTGAGGAGTTTGCATGTTTTAACTGAGTTGGTGTGGGCTTTTAATAATAAGAATTGGGCTGGACTAAAATCAGGAGCTCAATAAGCAGTTAGATAGCATGGATGATGCTCCAGGTGGACAGCTTGAAGGGAGCTGAGAGTTGTTGTTCCTCCAGATATGCATTAAATATATATAGGACCGGATGAGATTTTCTCTTGCCTCCTAAAAACTTGTGCTGAAGAGCTTGGTGCCCAGTCTGGTGCACACTTTTCCAATGCTCATTGGATTCACGTATGGTTCCTGCATTGTAGAAAAAAATGGTGATTACCCCATTACCACAGAGGTCTTACCCAGCTGAAAATAGTGATTTTAGGCCTTTTTTCATTTACATAAGTTGTAATGAAATGTTTTGAGAAATATGTTGTCTTTATTGAAAACTGAGGTGAATTTTAAATTACGCCCATGGCTGTTTGCTTAAAGACAAGAACGGAATTCGTATGATGCAATTAGCAGTATTACCCACTTGGTTCTTAAACATTTGGAGGACACTGTGGAATATGCAAGTTGACTTTTTATTGATTTTAGCTCAGCTTTTAAAAACTCTTCAGTTATATTTGTTATTGGATAAGTTAAATAAGATGGGTCTGAACCCAATCATTATTAAATGGTACTTTTCTTGTTTAACTAATAGAGTAACAGGTAAAGGTCAACAGGTAAAGGCAATTTTTGACCGGCAATGTATTGGTACAGGCATTCTTTGTTGGTGACAGAGCATATTTTCTGCAATAAACCAAGAGCCAATGTGAAAATTCTGTTAGTTTTTGTGAAGGGAACCAGGGCGATGCTAACTTCTGTTGGCCTACAAAAATAAGTCATCACGGCAGCACTCTATTAATGCCGCATATAAAGTTGCTTGCTCAGCAACCATAAAAAACTCTCTAGTGTAGTACATAACTTTAATCCTATAATGAATGATTGTAAAATTCAAGCACCGATATTTTAAAGGTACTTACCATGGTATGTCCCAAAGATCTTTGTAATAAAATAGTACTTTTTCTGTTGATTACTTGATGAGAAATTTAAACAATACAAGAATGATCTGCATAACCAGAAGAGGGCTATGCAACCCAAAAATGTTGATGAGTTGAAACTGTTTTGTAGGGAAGAAAGGTCCAAAATTAATCCTCGATGTTGTGCAAATGTTATAAGCAGCTACAGGAAACATTTGGTGTAGTTTGTTGCTGCTAAAGGATGCTTTAAGTTACTAAAATCAATGGGTCACTTAGTTCTTTGGTTATTTGTGTGTTGCTAGTTTAGTCAGATAATGTCAGATCAAAAATTCCAAAATGGTTTACCGACTTTTCATTGCAACTATAAACAAATTCTTTAGAGGCTTGAACATAACATGTTTCCAGTACTGATGGATCTCAGTTAGTCACAGGGCATGTTGCTCTTTCTTGCTCCTGAATAGATACTTTGTATCCACCAACTCTTGGCAATATGGCAATATCTCCACTTGGTCATGCTTTATCCCTCCAGTGAATTCATTAACATGGACAGGACTTTTGAACTTTTGTAACGTAATGAATGTGCAATGCTTTGTACCCCTGCATCAGGTTAATCTTCATCCAGGTGCACACGTGGATTTCACCTCTCTGATCTTAATCAGAGTATTGCCTGGAAGGGTGGAACTCTCATATGATGTCTCCTTGTTAAAAATATTGAGACACTTTTTAAAGTCCTTGTATATCATTTGCCTGTAAATTTGCCTGCTCCCTTCAAACAAGGGGAAGTCTGAGGACAGGGAATAAGGTGGTTCTCACTTCTGGTCCTGGCTCCCCACTGCTCTGCATATTTTGTATGTCTTTCTTTTCTAACACACCTGATTAAGATCTGAAGTCTCTTTAGAAGAGAGCTCCATAAACTGAACAGTGGTGTCATTGTTAGCATAGTATGGTCACAAGTTCCATCTTTACCAACATAGTAGTTCAATGTTGGTTCAGTGTTTCCTGAAACCATAGTTCAAACGAACATTCGCAAAAAGCATCGCAAACGTACGTGGTTGGAACTACAACTCAACAATCAACACTGTGTAGTAACAATCAACTACAGTGAAGCAGTCAGGTGCCATGTTCAATACAGCCGCATCTCAGAGATCTCAAATTGATTAATTAGCAGAAGTTATTACTCCATCCAATGGGATATCACAGTGGAAAAAGATATAACGCTAAATGCGGGATAATTCACCCAAAAATGAAAATTCTCTAATCATTTATTCACCCTTTTGCCATCCCATATGTATATTACTTTCTTTCTTCAGACGAACATGCTCAGTATTTCCACTTAAATGCATCCCAGAGCAAAAAAAAAAAAATTAAAAAGCTCTTCATTTATTGGCTTAATAAATAATTAATAAAGACTGTATTTCTTAGTAAACAGGGATTAGGCCTCCAATTTCTAGACAATGATCTAAGCTTTGGCAGAAGAATTATACTGTATTGTGTGATTGCTTTGTCAGATTCATTTACCCCTAAATCTAACATGGGATTCTGGTTTAAAATGAGTTTCCTGCAGGAACATAATATCTGATGACAATAATTTGAAGTACCAATACTAGTAGTCCATACTCTGATTACCATGCTCTGATTGAAAATCTTCTGAAGGCATAACAAAGCTATGTGTGAAGTCCACATTTGGTTGATTTCTTGAAGAAAACCTTCTCCTCCACTATGCCCTGTCAAATTATGAAATACTTTGCCGAAACGTCATTGGCCCTTATTTGCATCATCATCACATTATCGAATTTGAATATATGTAAAAGATTTTTCTGGGACTTTAAATCACAGAGTAGAACAGAATATACATGTAAAATAATATGAAAGGGCCCATCAGTCGTCATTGTGATATTACAATGTGCATACCCTGCATATCCATGCGCTGCACCACTGGCGCCCAATCCTGTTCCTGGAGATCTACCTGCCTGCAGAGTTCCAACCCTGATCGAACACATCATGTGCTTCTGAAGATTTTAATTAGCTGGTTCGGTTGTGTTTGATCAGGGTCGGAGCTGAACTTTACAGGAAGACAGATCTCCAGTAACAGGATTGGGCACCTCTGGTGTACAACACTGCTTGGTTCATATTCCGTCCTCTCTTTCTCTCCTTTTTGCAGTTCTGTCTTCACATCCATGGTGGTGAACCTAGCTGATGGAAAGGAAGGCTGTCAAACAGCTCAACATGGTCTCCAGGTTGCCCAAGTTTGCTTCCCGTCCCTCAGGCACCACCATGACCAACCTTCCCCAAGGATCTGCCCTCCCAGTTTCCTCCTCGGAGTCTAAAGGTGTACCTCTAGGCAGGCACAATAATTTGACACATCTGCAATCCCTAAATTGGAGAAAGGATGAAGAGGACATTGGAAATAAAGTTCAACACACTGACAGCTTGGATGAGGAGACTAGTGTAACTATAAAATCACGGTCCCCAATGATGGTGAATAAAAAACCTTCCCCTGCAGCTGCAGTAAAATGTAAAAGTGCAGTCCTTACTTCACAAAGTAGCTGTCCCAGGAGCATACCTCAGCCTAGCAAAATCCGCATGACTACTCCCAAACGCCTCTCAACATGGAATCCCCTGTATAATGACATGGCTACTCAGAATGGAGTAAGTGGTGGTAATGGGCGTTGTGGCTCCTCAGGGCCCAGTGTTGGTCATGTACCCCAACAAAGAACCCTGCAGAGCAAACTATCCCTGTCCAACGACAGCATCAAGTCTGCCTCTAAAGAGATTTTCACCCACTCCAAGAGGGTAGCATGCTCCACCAACCCACCTATTACCCGTTCCTTCTCCTTTAACAAAGCTACAGAGCTTGCTAAAGAACTTCCCAGACCTTTGGCACAGTCTCCAGTGGCTAGATCATCCCTCATAGAGCCAAACACAGTATTATCCAAAGAAAAAGTAAGTAAATATGAAATGCCAAGGCATTCTGTAACTACTAGCAGTCATCTTTTGCAGACAAACACAATAAAGAAATCCCTTTTACCAAGCTTTTCAGGTAACAAACCTTCTGTGCTCAGTTATAGACTTACACGTCCAACACTAACCAAACATCCACTTACTGTTTTCCCTGGAACTGTCCAGAAAGAAGCAGAATTGAGTGAAAATGTCCAAGACACTACAAAGATAGCAGAAAACAGTTCAGAACCAAGTAGCAACATTGAAAGTATTGAAACTACCCCAAATGAGACTTCTTTTGAAGCAAAGGAGGCTGAGGGGAGTCTGGGCCCCTCCTTGGAGGACATGTCGCTATCATCGTCCTCCTCTGTGGAGCACAATGACACTAGTGAAGAGTACATGGATGACTTTGATAATCTCGGGAATGGAGGTGAGACCCTGCTGTTGCCTGTCCTCAATGAGGGGTTAGACCACTTAGGACTATGTAAAGATGACAGCGCTCTAATTACCAAGTGCAATGAGGAATCATCAGTGACCAGCCTGCACACCTTCTTATCCGAAACCGTTGACTGGGCAGGGATGGGCCTCACAGGTGTGGCTGAGAATCAATCTATTTCCATTACACCTCAAAGCAACTTTTCCGATTTTCCACATTTGTTTCTGACATTTTGACTGTTCAAACCCTAGTTAGTTGACTCACTGTCTGCAGCCTACTTTGGTTGCTACCTTCAGAGTGTGCTAGATGACCCCTCCATTCACTATTGGTGTCCTGGGGCCTGATTCATGAAAAATATATTTGAAGCTAAGAAATCTCTAAAGATAAATTCTTGAATGTTCATAAATGCAATAATTGAATGGTTCTTAAATGTATTCTTAAGAAAACATTTTTAAAGAATAAAATGACTTAAAATAAGTCGCATAATTTGGTGATTGACGGTTCTTGCTGAACACTTGCTGAATAATGCATGGAAAACACCTCAAAGACTGTATTTTTGTGCTGCCTGCAGTCAGATTACTGTAATAATCATAATAAGTGCACAACTATTTCAGTTATGCCGGGCTTGATGGGAGTTTAGCATTTTATAGTTTTGCAATAGTTTTTTTTTATGCACCATGTGTTTTTAAATAATACTTTTTATAAAACCGGTCTCAAGATGGAGCAGTCCGTTGCATTTGTGCTTCCTCTTTCTCACGCTCTCTCTAGAGTGAATGCGTCCTATGTTTGGCCACTCTCATATGTGCTGAATGCTGTCGAAAATTATGTTGTAATTATAAAATTAGAAACGAGGTCCCTTATTGGACTAATTTGAGTAATTTTTGTAGAGTTGTTTCTGAATTTCAACACATCACTCATAATGATGAGAACACTTGTGCACATCCCTAGTAATATTAATATGTAGCTAGTCTTGTGATGTAATGCTTAATATTTAAAACAACCCAATAAATTCATTAAACATCTTACCTCTGGTGATTTAAGACTAACTGGAGGTTGTCCTAACTTTCTTTATTAGAGCATTAGAGCATTCTTTTAAGGAATTCATATTCTTAAGTTTTGTCTTATAACAATCTTAAAAAAGGTAAGAACATTCTTTAGAAATGTTTTTTTGGGAATACAAAACATTCTTAACTTTATTCTTAAGTTAGAAAATAAGAAGAAAATAGCAGTTAAGAAGAATTTTATTTTCAAGAATGTATCATGAATCTGGCCCCTGATCATCCTGTCAAGGTTTAGTAATGACAGGTTGACTTTACATTATCCCTTAAACACAAGCCAGTGGGATTATTATTTGAATAATTGTAAAACTCTCACAAAAGATCCTCTTTTCTTAGTATGTACTATACATATATATCTTTAGATTTTTGCCAAAACAAGGCACCTTAGAAGGCAGCATAATGATGTAATACTGTCACTAAGATTACGTAAACATATATCTCTCTTTCACTTTCTTACCCAGCTTATTGTCTTTCTTTCAGCTTGTAAAGATGACTTCGAGCATGAGTCGTTGTCTCCTGTAGGCCATTTTCCTCATGGCTCGTCTTTGGACCTGTCACCCTCAGACAGCTCTGGAGGGACTTACATGTGGGACGAAGAGGGAATGGAGGCACTGGGAGGCTCTGGACATCCCTGTGGAAGCTTTGACTCTGATCTCAACAGCATGGTGAGTCCAAAACTTTTTTTTTTTTAATGCAGGAGTTGACCTAAGTGACTTATAAGAGAGAAGTACCACAATAACATAACCTTTTTTTTTTCATAAACAGCTTCATAATTAGAGGATTATTGAGGTTACGCATCTCTTTTTTAATTTTTAGTAGTGGTTATTTAACTTGCTGGTACAGCTCCTGAAGCAACCCCCCCTGCAGCGAAGAATCACTCCTCTAGACAACTCTCTGCAATCTTGTTTGCAAGCTCCTGAAATGCACAGCACTGCTGATTTTTTGTGTGGTTAAAGTGAAGTCTGTCTTGTGTTCATAGCCCAGAGACTGCCTGGATAAGGGTGTCGGCTTGAGTTATTGCAGGCGCATCTGTGATTATGCATCATAATACTGAGAGTACCCCAAATTGGCTCCTGCTGATATCCATTTGTCTTTCCCCTGGAAGCAGACGATCAGATTGTCAGCTTCATGGCATCAGTAAATAGTGAGATGAAAGCAAAGTCAGACCAGAGAATGACTCGGCATTTATGCTTACAGTGCTAGCCTTTATCCTCCTTTGCATCTGTGATAGCTTGTTAATTGCCTCTCCCTATAATGATATTTATCTTTCAGTATTTAAACCAGATTGTAAATTAATCAATTAGTCTAACTATGCCTCTGTTTTGTAAAATAGATTGTTGTGTAAACATGAAACATATTAGATGAGATAAACAACATTTGCGTATTCATATCACTACTTTAGTGTATTATAGTAATACATTTTGCTAAATAATATTTAATAAAAATGTGTTATTAATATTTGGCTCTGATGACTGCCACGTAATTGACTGGTCTGACAGAGACATCTTGTGGATATTTAATGCCATGATACGTAGGCCTACTTTTGGGCTTTGTTTATGCTGCATGTTTGTTTAGTTACTTATGTGCATTGTGTATGACATTACATATAGGCCTGGTTTATGTACCAATGATGAAAAAATAATGTGGTTATTGCCATTTGTGACCCTAGACCACAAAACCAGTCATAAGGGTCAATTTCTCAAAATTGAGATTTATACATCATCTGAAAGCTGAATAAATAAGCTTTCCATTGATGTATGGTTTGTTAGGATAGGATAGGATATTTAGCCGAGATACAACTATTTGAAAATCTGGAATCTGAGGGTGCAAAAAAATCTAAATACTGAGAAAATCACCTTTAAAGTTGTCCAAGTGAAGTTCTTAGCAATGCATATTACTAAACAAAAATTAAGTTTTGATATATTTACGGTAGGAAATTTGCAAAATATCTTAATGGAACATGATCTTTAATTAATATCCTAATGATTTTTGGCATAAAAGAAAAATAGATAATTCTGACCCATACAATGTTTTTTTGGCTATTGCTAAAAATATACCCAAGCGACTTAAACGGATAGTTCACCCAAAAATGAAAATGTGATGTTTATCTGCTTACCCACAGGGCATCCAAGATGTAGGTGACTTTGTTTCTTCAGTAGAACACATATGATGATTTTTAACTTTAACCGTTGCAGTCTATCAGTCATATAATGCATGGCAATGCTAACAAAATCTATGAGAGTAAAAAAAAAACATGCACAGACAAATCCAAATTAAACCCTGCGGCTCGTTACGACACATTGATGTCCTAAGACATGAAACGATCGGTTTGTGCCAGAAACCGAACAGTATTTATATCTTGACCTAAGATATACATCAGACCTAAGATATAAGCAGATAAACATCAAATTTTCATTTTTGGGTTAACTATCCCTTTAAGACTGGTTTTGTGGTCCAGGGTCACATTTAGACTAAAATGTTATTCAGCATTTTTATTGCTTTTCTTCAGATTTAATCAGAGACTACTGTATATACGTTTTTTGTTTTTTTTTAACATATAACTGAAGTCAAGCCAATTTTATTTTTATAGTGCTTTTCACAAAATATTGTTTCAAAGCAGATTTACAGAAATGTAGAAATTGCCTTAAAGTCCACAAAAGAGCTGGGCAATTGGATAGTTTCCATGTGGCAACATTATAAATGATCAACCAGTTGAGATTTGCTGTAGGCCTAGTATAGTTCGATTTATGAGTGAATAATGTTGTAGTTGTCAAGTGAAGTCATTCGTTTTATGGTGATATTAAGAATTATGAAATCTGTAAGATTTTGGTTTCACATTTTGGTGTAGTGACTTTACCGAATTCCAGTTCTCTTTCATGGCTTATTGCTGAACTCCCAAGATTTTGTCAAAATCATTGTGAATTTTGGTATTGTGACAGCCGTATTTCTTTGTAGTAAAAGATTTTTGTCATACCTCATACCGCCCACCCTTAGATTAGTAGCAGCTTCTAATTATGAGACCAAAAGTAAATTACTATTTTTAATGTCCTTGAAGCAGTCCCAATTTGAGTTCTCTTTCATGGCTTTTTGCCGAACAGTCAAATACACACAATGCCAGTCAGTCAGTTATATGGGTGAGCATAAACACTAACAGTTGTAGATATTGGATCTGTGCACTACCTCTTGAAGTGACAACATATACCTGCTGCTGTCTTTGTCTCTAATCAAACAACAAAAGAAAGTTTTAGCAGTTGCAGCTCTTTCATGGACGTGGGCTTTGTGAAGCACTCTGTGGTCCGTTTTTATGGAAACAGGGTCTTCAAGGTGAATATTGGTGTTTGCGTTCACTTTTGCTTCAGTGGTTCCATGCTGTTTGGACACAGTCCGTCTCTGTGTTTGACAGTCCCTATCATTTATTTTCAATTTTTGCCCACTATCGTTCTTCACTGGTGAAGTCTTGCTATGCTTTGTGTACGCAGTCATATTCGTTAGAACAGTTGTTCTTAAAACACCAAACAACTGGGCTGTTAAAGTTACAGACATGACTGAACTATCACATTGACATAAGTATTCAGACCCTTTGCTTCAACACTTGAACTTTAACACAGGTGCATTGCATTTCTCTGGATCATCTTTGAGCTCTTTGTACCGTCTCAGTGAAGTCCACCTGTGGCAAATTCTGCTAATTGGACATGATTTAGAAAGGTACATACCTGTCTATATAAGATCTAACAGCTGAAAATACATATCAGAGCAAAAACCAAGCCATCTGGGGGCGCAGATCTGGGAAAGGCTACTGAAACATTTCTGTTGCATTGAAGGTTCCCAAGAGCACAGTGGCCTCCATAATTCTTAATGAAATGAATTTTGGAACAACCAGGAATCTTCCTCACCAAAGTGAGCGATCACTGCAAGACTTTGGTAAGTGAGGTGACCAAGAATCTGAGATCATGTGTAGAAATGTGGGTGTGGGGGGGTTGGGGAATTTACAGAAGGACTACTGCAACACTTTGCCAATCTGGGCTTTGAGGCAGAGTGGCCAGACAAGAGCCTCAAAATGAGCAAAAAAGCACCTGAAAGACTCTCAGACTGTGGGAAACAAAATTCTCTGGTCTGATGAACCTCAAATCCATTTCCAAAGATAACCAGCAGAACATAGCAGCTGAAGTAGTGCTGTGCAGCTTCTGTAGTACCTTCAAGGACCACAGGGGGGCACCAGAAACTCACAAATATTCACTCTGAAGAAAGCGTCTTCCATTTTAATAAGAACATCCAACAGGAATAGTTCTTTTACTCACCCTTGTGATGTTCCAAACACATATGGCTTTCTTTTTTTCTATGAAACACACAAGGAACTTTTTTGAAAAATGTTTTGCAGCTGATCTTTTTCATAAAATAAAATGGGGAATGGGGTTTGCAGATTAATGTATCATAAAGGAGCTTGTATGACTCACGCACTATTGTTAAGTCTTAAGAATTCATACGATATGAAGGAATAGACCCACATTCAATTTCTTATTCACTGGTTCTCCTCCACAACAGGAGTCAAACATTTGTTTGCATTGTGCCAGGTTTGATGTCGATGTCATGCCATTGATGCTGAAACCTGGCGTAAAGCATGAAGGTGAAAAAATTATGAGAGAATTTTCATTTTTGCCTGAATTTTTCCCTGACAATACAGACACTGTGCGTCTGTGCATTGCGTATTACAGATTAATTGGATGTCACCTCTTTCACTTCACCACTCTGCCATGTTATTTCATCAGATGCGTGATAAAATACAGGCAAATTCATGACAATTCAATGTTGTGGCCACTGTGAAGGTGTAAATTAGGATGAAAAATCCCAAGATGTTGTAAGTAGCTGACAGTATCCACTTCTCTAATGTATGGCTGATGCCGACCTTTTACTTTTAAATCAGTAGATGTTTGATAAAAATTGATAAAAAAAAAAATCTGTTAAAAAATTATTTATTTAATTAGCAATTTTGGGGCCTTTATCTTAGATATTATAACAATAACATTAACAATGCGTTAGTCTCCAAATGGCTGGAAAATGTGTGTAGACTTATTAATCAGAATTTCTGCCCATCCAAAAATAATACTGTATTTACCATATTCAATTCAATTCAATTCATACATATTTCATACAAAATATTATTTTTTCATACAAAACATTTATTTGTATAGTACTTTTCAAAAGCAGCTTGACAGAAAATCTGGCAGTTTTGTATGTTTCAGTGATTCTTTAAACATTGAATAGTTTTCAAGAGCATGATTATGAACACAATTAAGCGGTTGTGTTGGATTGCCAGTTTCTATGTTGGATTTACCCTGTGCGGATTATTAAAGAGTGTTTAACTCTCATCTTTGTCTTCGTGCATGTTTGTAAACAGCTCTCTGTGACACAAATATCCCATTTCAACAAAATAGGCTTATAATTTATCTGACGAAACAATCCATTTTGGAGAAACCTTGGTCAAACAGAAGTTAATTAGCAAATACAGTAAACAGCACACACGCACACACACACTGCGTCAAATGTTAAACCAAGGCACCGAAGTGACTCAGTATGCAACCAAGTGAGAGAAATCTGTTCTGCTCCCTCTCTCTGCCAGAACGTCTGTCACTCTCAGATATCAGCACTCCTCCTCTGATTGGCTGAG